AGAAATGTCAGCTCCTTGAAGTCTAGGACAAGGCTGTCTTCTTTCCTGTTGTATTCTTAGCCCCAGAAGGACTGGCGTATAGTAACTGCTTAATAAATATTTGCTGAATAAATGAATGATGGTTGCCTGAGAGCCCCTCCAGGGAAGGATTTAGATCTAAATAATAATAATAATTGCCATTTATTGAGCTCTAAGGATGCACTAGACTCTGTAGCAAGTTAATCTTCATGGAAACCAGATTCTATAGAGCTATTTTTATCCCCAGTTGTTGGATCAAACTGAAGCTTAGAGAAGTTAGCTCACACAGCTAGCACTAGACCACTGGTTCTCAAAGTGGGTTCCCTGAGCAGCCATGGCTTCTGAATCACCTGGGAACCTTTAGTAATGCAAATTCCTAGGCACCACCCCAGACTTACTGAGAAATTCTGGGGTGGGGCCTAGCAATCTGAATTTTAACAAACCTGCCAGGTGATTCTGATGCACCAAAGTGTGAAAAACCCTGTGTTAAAAGAAAGATGAGGTTAAATGTTTTTTTAAAAACACAGCTTTATTGACATAGAATTCACATCACCCACTCAAGTGTACAGGTCAATGATTTTTAGTATATTTACAGGGTTATGCAACCATCACCGAAATAGTTTGTAATTAATAGGTTAAAAAAAAAAAAAAGAGACCTGGCCAGGCACAGTAGTTCATGCCTGTAATCTCAGCACTTTGGGAGGCAGAGGCAGGTAGATCACTTGAGGTCAAGAATTCCACACCAGACTGGGCAACATGGTGAAACCTTGTCTCTACTAAAAATACAAAAATTAGCTAGGTGTGGTGGCACCCGCCTGTGGGAGGCGGAGGTTGCCCTAAGCTGAGATTGCACCATTGCACTCCAGCCTGGGTAACACAGCAAGACTCCGAGACTCTGTATCAAAAAAAAAAAAAAAAAAAAAAAAAAAAAAGAAGGCCAGGAGGCGGAGCTTGCAGTGAGCTGAGATCGCGCCACCGCACTCCAGCCTGGGTGACAGAGCAAGACTCCGTCTCAAAAAAAGAAAAAAAGGCTGGGCGTGGTGGCTCACACCTGTAATCCCAGCACTTTGGGAGGCAGAAGCGGGTGGCTCACGAGGTCAGGAGATGGAGACCATCCTAGCTAACACGGGGAAACCCCGTCTCTACTAAAAATACAAAAAGTAGCTGGGCGTGGTGTCGGGTGCCTGTAATCCCAGCTACTCGGGAGGCTGAGGCAGAAGAATGGCGTGAACCCCGGAGGCGGAGCTTGCAGTGAGCTGAGATCGCGCCACCGCACTCCAGCCTGGGTGACAGAGCAAGACTCCGTCTCAAAAAAAGAAAAAAAAAACCCTAAAAGAAACCCTGTACCAATTAGCAGCCACTCCCCGTTCCCCTCCCATCCCCCACTCCCAGCCGGAAGCAACCTATTTTGTCTTTTTTTTTTGAGACGGAGTCTCTCTCTGTCGCCCAGGCTGAAGTGCAGTGGCGCGATCTGGGCTCACTGCAAGCTCCGCCTCCCGGGTTCACGCCATTCTTCTGCCTCAGCCTCCCGAGTAGCTGGGACAGGCGCCCGCCACCACCCCGGCTAATTTTTTGTATTTTCAGTAGAGACGGGGTTTCACCATGTTAGCCAGGATGGTCTCGATATCCTGACCTCATGATCCGCCTGCCTCGGCCTCCCAAAGTGCTGGGATTACAGGCGTGAGCCACGGCACCCGGCCCTATAGATTTGCCTATTGTAAACATTTCATGTAAGTGGAATCATACAACATGTATATGATTCCTGTGACTGACTTTGTCTGCTTTCTGTGCTGTTTGTAAGGTTCCTCCATGTGGTAGCATGGATCCTTTTTGACAAATAATATACCATGTATGGATATGCACATTTAAAAAATTGATTTATCAATTGAACATTCATGTGTTTCTACCTTTTGGCTATTATGAATAATCTTATGAATATTCACATACAAGTTTTTGTGTAGACATATATTTTCATTTCTTTTGGATATATGTATGTGTGTATATGTGTGTGTATATATATATATATATACACACACACATATATATGTAATTTGGTTTTGGTTTTGTTTCTTTTCTTTTGTAAATACAGGGTCTCCCTATATTACTCAGGCTAAATTTGAATTCCTGGGCTCAAGTGATCCTCTTGCTTCAGCCTCCTTCTGAGCAGCTGGGACAACAGATGTGCTCTATGTGACACACACACACCACACACACACACACAGAGAAGTGGAACTGCCGGGTCACAGATCTTACACTCTTAACCACTCCACATTTCAGCTTGTCTTACTCTCTGCTATGATTTAATATGTACATTATCAAATTGAGAAAAATACAAAAAAATTTAAAAATAACAACATATATTATCAGTAATAGTAATAATCACTTGGATCTATTGAGTATTTATGTTTGCAAAGCCTTTACTTTTTTTTTTGAGACAGAGTCTTGCTCTGTCACCCAGGCTGGAGTGCAGTGGTGTGATATCAGCTCACTGCATCCTCCGCCTCCTGGGTTCAAGTGATTCTCCTGCCTCAGCCTCCTGAGTAGCTGGGCTACAGGCAACCACTACCACGCCCAGCTAATTTTTGTATTTTTAGTAGAGACGGGATTTCACCATATTGGCCAGGCTGGTCTCGAACTCTTGACCTTGTGATCTACCGGTCTCGGCCTCCCAAAGTGCTGGGATTAGAGGTGTGAGCTACCGCGCCCGGCCTTTCTTTTCTTTTCTTTTTTTTTTTAGACAAGGTCTCACTCTGTTGCCCAGAACGGAGTGCAGTGGTGTGATCTAGGCTCACCGAAACCTCTGCCTCCCAGGCTCAGGCGATTCTCCTGCCTCAGCCTCCCAGGTAGCTGGGATTACAGGCGCACACCATCACACCTGGCTCATTTTTGTATTTTTAGTAGAGACGGGGTTTCACCATGTTGGCCATGCTGGTCTCAAACTCCTGACCTCAAGTGACTCACCACCCATGCTGGTCTCAAACTCCTGACCTCAAGTGACTCACCACCGCGGCCTCCCAAAGTGCTGGGATTACAGGCGTGAGCCACTGCACCCAGGCTACTTTTTCCTTTCTTCCTTTCTTTTCAGAGACAGGGTCTCACTCTGTTGCCCAGGTTGTCCTCCAACCCCTCCCCTGTCCTCAAGCAATCCTCCCGCCTCAGCCTCCCAAAACACTGGGATTACAGGCATGAGCCACTGTGCCCCTTTACTTTTATTGTCACTAATCCTCACCACTACCCTGTAAAACAGGAATCATTATCCTCGTTATACAGAGAAGAGAAACGGGGGCTCACAGAAGTCAGGTGACCTGTCTAAGCTCAAGCAAGCTGATACGGGGTAGAGTTGGGACCACAACCCACATCTGCCTGCTTTCTGTGCCCTCTGTGCTTGATCTCACGTCATGGACCATCCCTTTTGCCAAAGCTTTCGAAACGTGGCTTCTCCCCTCCTTTTAGGCCTTTTCTAGAAGTCAGGCTGGTTTGCAGCTCTCACCCCAAGCCTTTTTCCCCAGCTGGGGCTGAAGGCTGGGGAGGAGCTTCATGGGGGCTGGAAATAAATGAAGGGAGGGCTGGGCGGGACAGGGCAGTATTTCCAGGAGGCTGTGAGGGGGAGGTAAGGAGTTTGTTATTGTTTTGGGTTTGGGGATTTTTTTTTTTTTTTCTTTGCTCCTGGAGAGCAGGTTAGGTAGCTCTTGGCAGTTTTGCTAGGGATAAGAAGTGGGTGAGGCTGAGGCGAGCAGAATCCTCCTGCCTCAGCCTCCCATGTAGCTAGGACTAGAACTACTGTAGTGCTAAGTGGGGAAGAGGGTTTTCTGCCTCTGTGGGGCCTGGTCTGGAAAGTCCCCCAAATTGTTAAAAGGAGAGAGTGACTGTCCCCAACTGGCAAGGGGGCTTTTATGTCCACCCCTTGTGCCCCTTGCTCTGTGCGAAGCCCTACCTGTGCTGGGGGCTTCGAATAGGAAGAGGACCTCAGGGCCAGGCACCCAGGGACTGAGGGGCTACAGCACAAACAGACCCAGAGGCACACTTGGCTAGGAACAGCAGGATGAAGGGGGAATAATTTTGTGAGTGGTCTAAGAAGACTTTCCTTTTAAAGAGTGGAAAGCAATGAAACTGAGTCTTCAAGGCTGCAAAAGTTTCGCCCTGGATCAGAGAAAGGCACTACAGGTGGAGGGAACTATCTGTGCAAAGGGTTGGGGCCTTCAAGAGCTGGAGCACAGAGGTTTAAGAGAAAAAGTGGTGACAGATGAGCCCAGGGCTATCTGCTTAGACCTGTGATCTAATAGGGATGCCAGGAGCCACATGGCAACGTGGCTATTTAAATTTAAATTAGTTAAAATTCAATAAAGTAAAAAATATAGCTCCTGTGCCGGGTGCAGTGGCTCATGCCTGTAATCCCCGCACTTTGGGAGGCCGAGGCAGGGAGATCACCTGAGATCAGGAGTTCAAGACCAACCTAGCCAACATGATGAATCCCAATCTCTACTAAAAATACAAAAAAAAAAAAATTAGATGGATGTGGTGGCAAATGCCCCTGTATTCCCAGCTACTGGGGAGGCTGAGGCAGGATAATTGCTTGAACCCAGGAGGTGAAGGTTGTAGTGAGCGAGATCGCCCCATATGCACTCTAGCCTGGGTGACAAGAGTGAAACTAAAAAAAAAAAAAAATTCCAGCTCCTGAATCACACGTTATGTTTCAAATATTCAATAGCCACATGGGGCTGGTAGCAATAGTATTGGAGAGTATGTACAAGGCATGCCTCTACCATCACAGAATGTTCTTTTGGCCCATGGGAAGCCTCAGGAAGGGGTTCGGATTGCTCAAGGACCCATGGGAGAGAGCAGGCTTTGACTGGGCTGCCTGCCTGTGAGGTCGCTGGACTAGAGGTGAGGGAACGGTCCCCAGAAGTGTGAGGTGGTGTGACTCACCTCCTGCCAGCGTAAAGTGAACTCTGTCCCCAAGGACAGGAAAATATTGGGCAAGGCTTCTTCAGCCCTGACTTGGGATATCTGCTCAGTGTGACCAGAGCCAGGGGCTGAGAAACATGGAGTGAGTGAGACTGGGGCAGGAGCAGTAGCTGCTGAGTGAGGCTGAGCCTGAGCACCCGGTGGGGAGAGGGGTGGGGTCTCCAGCTTGGTCTTGGTTGGCATGCCTGGGACAGGACAGGAGAAGGGTTGGGGGAGGTATGTGTGAGTTGGGATAGAAGAGGGAGGAGGGTTGCTGAAGAGGGGTTGGGTTGCACCATGCCTAACAATGAGAGAGATGGGAACCCTCTCATCTCACACTGATGAGTTGTTTCTGCCTCTTTCCCAGGTCCAACACAGTCCAGCTGACAAGGATGGAATACGCCATGAAGTCCCTTAGCCTTCTCTACCCCAAGTCCCTTTCCAGGTGAGGAAAGCCATGGGCAGAATGGAAAGGGAGCCACCTACGAGCTGTAAGCCAGAACTTCTCAAACTTTAGTGGGTATATAGGTCACAGGGGACCTTGTTCAAGTGCAGATTCTGATTCAGGAGGTCTGGAGTGGGACCTGAGATTCTGCACTGCCAAGAAGTCCCTGGGTGATATTAATGCTGCTGCCTACACTACCACCACACCGTGCATAGAAAGGAGTAGACACTATGCTTGGTGCTTTTACTCCTGATCTCATGTAAGCCTCACAACAACTTTGGGAAGTGGGAGTTATTATACCAAATTAATAGGTGAGAGAACTGAGGCACATAGTGGGTGCTCTCAATCACCCAGCAAATCCATGAGGGAGCCAAAATTCTAAATTGGGACTGCCTGACTGTAAAATCCAGGTCCTTTCCATTCCTTTGGTTCTAAATTGAGTGCTTCAGTTAAAAAAATACCTTATATTGACTTCGGGTTTCCCCCACTTCATCCAACTTTACAGGTGAGGAGAGTGAGGCCAAGAGAGAGGTGGTAATTGGGGGAACGTGAGATGGGTCTTTTATTACTTTGCTACTTACTCCTCATGGTCTGAGAACCAGCATATCAACATCACTTGGGAACTTGTGAAACATTTGGAATCTCAGGCCTCACCCAGGTCTACTCAATCAGAATCTGCATTTGAACAGATGCCCTGGTGACTTACGTGCCCTTCAAAGTTTGAGATGCACTGCTCTAGCAGGCTTTTTTTCTTTTTCTTTCTTTTTTTTTTTTAAGTCAAGGTCTCACTCTGTTGCCCAGAATGGAGTGCAGTGGTGCCATCATAGCTCACTACAACCTCTGCTGCCTCCCAGGGTTCAAGCAATTCTTGTGTCCCTGTCTACGGAGCTGTGATTACAGGCATATGCCACCACGCTGGCTAATCTTTGTATTTTTAGTAGAGATGGGGTTTCACCATGTTAGCCAGGGTGGTCTTGAACTCCTGACTTCAAGTGATCTGCCCACCTCAGCCTTCCAAAGTATGGGATTACAGGCATGAGCCACCGTGCCTGGCCTCTAGCAGGCTTTTGAGTAAGACTAGAGCAGGATTAGCAGGCGATGGGGGCTTGACTGATCATGAGCCTGGTCTGGAGGGGTGGGGAGGTGGCTCCCCTGTGTGGTGGGCAAGGGTTGGGCAAAGTGGGCGGCTCACCCTGATGCTTCAACTGCCCCCAGGCGCGTGTCAGTGCGTACCTCTGTGGTGACCCAGCAGCTGCTGTCGGAGCCCAGCCCCGAGGCCCCCAGGGCCCGGCCCTGCCGCGTAAGCACTGCGGATCGAAGCGTGAGGAAGGGCATCATGGCTTACAGTCTTGAGGACCTCCTCCTGAAGGTGAGAGTGCCCTGCACGTTGCACAGCCCAGCTGTGAGCTGAGATTCAGGGCTTAGAAGGTGGCAGTTTCCTTTCTGATACCTACCAGCACCTACATATGGTAATGCCCACCTGGACAGCGTCCAACCGATAGCAATGGCTGATGTCTGTTTGGTAACGGCAGGTGGGCGGGGCAGTATGTTACCATCCTACACTATCAGTAGGTCAGTGGTATTTTCAGGGCACATTTTTCTTGCTGGAAAATCTCTTGCTTCCCACTTCCATTAGTTTTTTTGTTTTGGTTTTTGTTTCTTTTTTTTTTTTTTTTTTGAGACGGAGTCTCGCTCTGTCGCCCAGGCTGGAGTGCAGTGGCACAATCTCGGCTCACTGCAATCTCCGCCTCCCGGGTTCACGCCATTCTCCTGCCTCAGCCTCCAGAGTAGCTGGGACTACAGGCGCCCACCACCGCGCCCGGCTAATTTTTTCTATTTTTAGTAGAGATGGGGTTTCACCATGGTCTCAATCTCCTGACCTTGTGATCCGCCCGCCTCGGCCTCCCAAAGTGCTGGGATTACAGGCGTGAGCCACCGCGCCCGGCCTCTTTTTTTTTTTTTGAGACGAAGTCTCGTTCTTGTCACCCAGGCTGGAGTGCAATGGTGCAATCTCGGCTCACTGCAACCTCTGCCTCCCAGGATCAAGCGATTCTCCTGCCTCAGCCTCCCGAGTAGCTGGGACGACCGGCACACACCACCACACCCAGCTAATTTTTTGTACTTTAGTAGAGACAGGGTTTCACCGTGTTGCCCAGGCTAGTCTCGAACTCCTGAGCTCAGGCAATCCACCCACCTCGGCCTCCCAAAGTGTTGGGATTACAGGCGTGAGCTACCACGCCCAGCCTGAGATGCAGTCTTGCTATGTCACCCAAGTTGTAGTGCAGTGGCATGATCTCGACTCACTGAAGCCTCCGCCTCCAAGGTTCAAGTGATTCTCATGCCTCAGCCTCCCAAGAAGCTGGGACTATAGGCATGTACCACCACGCCCAGTTAATTTTTTGTATTTTTAGTAGAGACGGTGTTTCGTCATGTTGACCAGGCTGGTCTCAAACTCCCAACCTCAGGAAATCCACCTGCCTCTGCCTCCCAAAGTGCTAGGATTACAGGCATGAGCCACCACGCCCGTCCTCAGTGATCATCTCTATAGGGGTGGGACCTGCAATCCCAGGTGCCTGGTACAGGTCAAATGTTTGGATTAGGCTTTCAAGTACTAGGTTCTATTTAACATACATAAATCATAGCTCACCTCTTTATTCTATGTTTCCTCCCCTATTTCTGTGTATTAGTTCTATTCTTCCGGGGAGCAAATTTCCCCTCCTTTGTAAGGCTTCTGGCTGTGCAGACTACATTTCTTGTGCTTTCGATCAAAAGGATCTGTTCATACTCTAGTCTGGACTTGGTGCTGCTTTTTTGCCCTGAGGCCTGGGCACCCCTGGCATCAAAATGTCCTTGTTATATATGGCTTCCTCTGGAGGAAGCAATTACAAACTAACAAAAGTTACACAGTACAAATACAATACAAAACTTTTCCTGTATCATTTGAGAGTAAGTTGCCAACTTGCTGCCTATTACTCTTGGATACTTCAATGTGCATTTTCTACAAACAAGGATATTCTCCTGTGTAGCCATCATACAACTATTACAATCAGGAAACAGTATTACATTACTGTAATTGAATCCTGAGACTCAAGCATTGCCAGTTGTCCCAATAATATCCTTTGTAGTGAAAGGATCCAGGTCAGGATCAAGTGTTTATTTAATTGTATGGTTCTTTAGTTTCCTTTAGTCTGGAACAGTTTTTCAGTGTTTCCTTGACTTTCATGACCTTGACCATTTTGAAGATTGTGAGCCAGCTATTTTTGTTTACTGGCCCTTGGTTTGGAACTATCCATTTCTTTCTTTCTTTTTTCTTTTTGTTGAGACGGAGTCTTGCTCTGTTGACCAGGCTGGAGTGCAGTGGTGTGATCTTGGCTCACTGCAAGCTCCACCTCCTGGGTTCCCACCATCCTCCTGCCTCAGCCTCCCAAGTAGCTGGGAGTACGGGCACCTGCCACCACGCCTGGCTAATTTTTTTTTGTATTTTGTAGTACGAACATGGTTTCCCCATGTTAGCCAGGATGGGTCTCCGATTCTCCTGACCTTGTGATCTGCCTGCTCCGGCCGGCCTCCAACAGTGCTGGGCATTACAGGCATGAGCCACTGCACGCGGGCCCTTCCATTTCTTTTTGTTTTTTTTTTTTTTTTTTTTTTGAGGCGGAGTCTCTACTCTGCCGCCCAGGTTGGAGTGCGTGGCCGGATCTCAGCTCACTGCACTCCGCCTCCTGGGTTCACGCCATTCTCCTGGCGCTCAGCCTCCCGGAGGCTGGGACTACAGGCGCCCCACTCGCCCGGCTAGTTTTTTGTATTTTTAGTAGAGACGGGGTTTCACCGTGTTAGCCGGGATGGTCTCGATCTCCTGACCTCGTGATCCGCCCGTCTTGGCCTCCCAAAGTGCTGGGATTACAGGCTTGAGCCACCGCGCCCGGCCCTATCCATTTCTTTAATTCAGGTTTATATCTTTGGCAGGAATATGATAAAAATAAGTTACAGGCCAGGCATAGTGGCTCACGCCTGTAATCCTAACACTTTGGGAGGCCGAGGCAGGAGGATTCCTTCAGCCCAGGAGTTCAAAACCAGCCTGGGCAACATGGTGAGACCCCATCTATACAAAAATAATGCAGGAATTAGCTGGACATGGTGGTGTGCACCTGTAGTTTCAGTTACTCAGGAGGCTGAGGCAGGATGATCGCTTGAGCCTAGGAATTTGAGGCTTCAGTAAACTGTGAATGTACCACTGCACTCCAGCCTGTGTGACAGAGTGAGACCCTGTCTAAAAAAAATTTTTTAAAGATTGTCAGTGCAAAATTATATGCAATTTTTATCACCTTACTGTTCTGATTATTTGAATAAAGTGGTAGGTACAGTCAAGCTTCTCTATGTAACATTTTTCCCTCTGTTATTTATTTTCTAGGTCAGTACTTTGTACTAAGTAAACATTGAATTCTGCATCTGTCACTGTATTCACTTATTATTATTATTATTATTATTATTATTTTTTAGAGAAAGGGTCTCACTCCATTGCCCAGGCTAGGATGCAGTGGTGTGATGATGGCTCACTGCAGCCTCAAACGCCTAGGTTCAAGTGATCCTGCCACCTCAGCCTCCTGACTCACTAGGACTATAGATACACAACCTCACACCTAATTTTTAATTAAAAAAAAAATAGCGATGGGGTCTAGCTATGTTTCGCAGCCTGATCTCAAACTCCTGGCCTCAAGTGATCCTCCCACCTCGGCCTCCCAAAGTGCTGGGATTAGAGGCATGAGCCACTGCACCTGGCCTATTTATTTATTCATATCAAAAGGGACACAGGTATTCCTATTTTAGTAGGATATATAAATGGCAACAGATTATTTATTGATGCTCAAGTTGTCCCAGACTTCTGTGTCTTTTTATCATGTCCCTATCATTCTTTGCATGCTTTCTTACTTTCTGGTGCAGCAAGGTATTACAGGCTCATCTTGTATTTTCCCTGCCCTAATTCTTGGCCATTTTTTTCTAAGGAGGTCTGTTTCATTTTAGTGGAGAATGGTATTCAGAAACCCAGATCAGGGAGCTAGGTATGTTCATTGCTATTGGTGTGTTGCTGAGCCCAGGCCCTTATTGAAAGATTTTTTTTTTTTTTTTTTTTTTTTTTTTTGAGACGGAGTCTCGCTCTGCCGCCCGGGCTGGAGTGCAGTGGCCGGATCTCAGCTCACTGCAAGCTCCGCCTCCCGGGTTCCGGCCATTCTCCTGCCTCAGCCTCCCGAGTAGCTGGGACTACAGGCGCCCGCCACCTCGCCCGGCTAGCTTGTTTTTTGTATTTTTTAATAGAGACGGGGTTTCACCGTGTTAGCCAGGATGGTCTCGATCTCCTGACCTCGTGATCCGCCCGTCTCAGCCTCCCAAAGTGCTGGGATTACAGGCTTGAGCCACCGCGCCCGGCCTGAAAGATTTTTAAGTAGCAAAATATGTTCCTTATTGAATCCAAGCAAGAAAAGTGAAGTGAGAATTCAATCATTCCAAAATAACCAATGATGTGGTTGTAAATGTCCTGAGGAGCCTATTCTTATTATGGACCATGTATTCTGCCAGGTGACTTGCAGTATTTCTTCTGATGAGAGCCTTAAGGTAGTTACCACTATTTCCATTCTCCAGAGGCAGAGGCCAAGTGCATTCACTGGGATTGAAAAATCCCAGCATTTTGGGAGGCTGAGGTGGGAGGATTCCTTGAGCACAGGAGTTTGAGACCAGCCTCGGCCACAAAGCAGTACCCTGTCTCCACCTCCCCCCACAAAAAAAAATTAGCTGGACAACGAGGGCACAAGCCTGTAATCTCAGCTACTTGGGAGGCTAAAGTGGAAGGATCGTTGAGCCCAGGAGGTTGAGGCTGCAGTGAGCTGTGATTATATCACTGCATTCCAACCTGGGTTAAAGAGCAAAGCCTTCTCTCAAAAAAAAAAAAAAAAAAAAAAATTAAACATAGAGTTAATGTATGACTCAGCAATTCTACTCCTAGGTATATGTCCAGGAGAATTGAAAACCTGTGTTCATATAAAAACGTGTACACAAAAACTCATAGCAGCATTATTCATAACAGTCAAAAAGAAACAATCCAAGTGTTCATCCATTGATAAATAGATTTTAAAATCTGGTATATCTATATAGTAGAATATTATTAGCCAAAAAAAAAATAATAATAATGAATCATGTCTGGGCATGATAGCACATACCTGTAATCCCAGCACTTTGGGAGGCCAAGGTAGGAGGATCCCTTGAGGCCAGGAGTTTGAGACCAGTCTGAGCAACATAGCCAGACACCTTCTTTAAAAAAACATAAAAATTAGGCAGGTGTAATGCATGCGCCTGTAGTCCCCGCTACTCGGGAGGCTGAGGCAGGAGGATTGCTTGTGCCCGAGAGTTGGAGGCTGCAATGAGCTACAATTATGTCACATGCTCTCTACTTACGCTTATGATATGCTTACGATTACTGCATTCCAGCCTAGTAAACACTGCACTATTAGATAGTGGTGATTGCTGCACAACTTTGTGAATATATTAAAAAACCCTGAATTGTACACTTTTAGAGGGTAACTTTTAGAGTATGTAAACTATATCACAATTAAAAATTATATGTGACTTATATTTTATTGGACAATATTATTCTAGACTATGAACCCTGAAGTCAGGAACCAAGAGGTACCATGATAAAGTCTCTGGGTAGTGATTACACAGCAGAGGGCTTGGGCTCCAGTTCCACCTCATAGACCCCAGCCCACTAGTTCTGGGATGGCAGAAGCATCACTGACCTTATTCCCCAGGTCCGGGACACTCTGATGCTGGCAGACAAGCCCTTCTTTCTGGTGCTGGAGGAAGATGGCACAACTGTAGAGACAGAAGAGTACTTCCAAGCCCTGGCAGGGGATATAGTGTTCATGGTCCTCCAGAAGGGGCAGAAATGGCAGCCCCCATCAGAACAGGTGAGGTTCCACCTGTTGGGGGAGAAAATCGGGACCCTGGGAGATGTCTTCAAGGGGTGCTAACCATTTGCTTGTCTCAATGCAGGGGACGAGGCACCCACAGTCCCTCTCCCCTAAGCCTGCCAAGAAGATTGATGTGGCCCGTGTAACCTTTGACCTGTACAAGCTGAACCCACAGGACTTCATTGGCTGCCTGAATGTGAAGGCAACTTTTTATGATACGTACTCCCTTTCCTACGATCTGCACTGCTGTGGGGCCAAACGCATCGTGAAGTGAGTGAAGTGGGATTTCCTGGGGACAGGGTGGGTATGGGCAATGGGAGAGCCCCTGTCTGTTCACATGGACTCAGCCTTCTCAGCGCCTGGGTCTGGCATTAGTGCTGACAAAGCATAGTCTGTATCAGACAACATGGAGCCTGATGGGCTGTCGAAGTGCTGCTGTGGACGACACTGGCGTGTGCCCAGGGGTGCATGTGTTCCTCCTGGTGGAACTTGGATGCATTTTGCTTTTATGACTACTTTCCACTCTAGAAACTACACTTTTTTTTTATGGAAATAGGGAGTTTTCCTAAGTAGTCTTCTAGTCAATTTTTTAAAAATGAACATGTGTTGGCCAGGTGTGGTGGCTCACACCTGTAATCCCAGCACTTTGCGAGGCCAAGATGGGTGGATCACTTGAGGTCAGGAGTTTAAGACCAGCCTGGCCAACATGGCAAAACCCAATCTATACAAAAATACAAAAATTAGCTGGACATTGTGGTGCATGCCTGTAATTCCAACTACTCAGGAGGCTGAAGCAGGAGAATTGCTTGAACCTGGGAGGTGGAGGTTGCAGTGAGCCAAGATTCCGCCACTGCACTCCAGCCTGGGCGAAAGAGCAAGACTCTCTCGGACAAAAAAAAAAAAAAAAGCATGTGTCAAAGATTTAATTGAATTCATTAATTAATGAGAGAAGTAGCAAGAAGTTACAATCAGTTCAAAGGAGAATTCAAAATCTCACACATATATAGGTCCAGCAAGAATGATGAGATAGGCTGGGTGCGGTGGCTCTCACTTGGAATCCCAGCATTTTGGGAGGTCAAGGCGGGAGGATCTGTTGCACCTAGGAATTTGAGACCAGCTTGGGCAACATAGTGAGACCCAGTCTCTACCACATGCGCGTGTGCATGCGCGCGTGCACACACACACACACACACACAAAATGCTGGCAGTGGTAGTATCTCCCTATAATCCCAGCTAGGTGGGAGGATTGCTTGAGCCCAGGAGTTTGAGGCTGCAGTGAGAAATGACCATACCACTGTGTACTCCAGCCTGGGCAACAGCATGAGACCTTGTCTCTAAAAAGAAGAAAAAAAGAGATAAATGTATACATACAAAATTGGATTATTCCCCCGTGCGAATGGGAGGGATGAAATAATCTTCCCTCCATAGGACAGAATTAATTTGCAAGTCTTATGGACCAGAGTCATTTGTACTATATAATGAACTTTTCTTAAAACTTATTTTTGAAAGTCTAACCAAATGTCTCAGGAAGCATGAGAATATGTGAGGTTAGAACCCGCTCCCACTTCCCCATTTCCCCTACTTTCCAAACATCCAACCCCATGTTAATTGCTTTATGCTATTTCAGCCTTATGACCCTGGGTGGCAGATGCAATCCCATTTTACCCATGAGGGAGTTGAAGCTCAAAGCTAGAGCAGTTTGCTAAAGTTCACCCAGCTAACAAGACTGGATTAGGACTTAGGCCAGCCTAATTCAGTTTCTGTTCTCAGTACATGCTCACGCCAGGCATGGACATCGGCGGTCTCATGTCCAGGCACTCTGAACCATCAGTTTAGCAACTGCAGGTAACTTGGAAGGCCTCAGAAGTCTAGAACAGAGTGTCTCCAAGGGCAGGAGCCAGATTATGCGAGATTAATTCTGGCTGGATCCCAAAAGTAGTCTGTAAAAATAGAAAAGCCGTTATGAAACCTGACTGGAGTTTCGGCATGAGAAAGTAGAGAGGTCCGGGCATCTCAGTTAAGGTGGAATGCAGCGTTCGCTCGCCTAAGTCCACTCATCTGGCAGCATCTGTTTCCTGTCTGCACATCGGCTCTAGAAATTGATGAAGGTGCTTTTAGTGCTACCACCTCAGTGGTATTGCAAATTTGTATTAATGAAGCAAAACAAACCAATAATGAACGCAATCCCTTCCAGGCCAGCATGGGAATAAGGAAATTGCAAGAGAAGGGGGTACACCCCTTGTTTTTCATTTACTTATTTATACTACTTTATTATTTTTTGATACCAAGAGACACACTCCTGTTCACCCAGGCTGGAACCGTAAGTGGTACACATCTCAGCTCAACTACAACACCTCTGGTGACTCCTGGGCTTCAAGCACCTTCTCGTCGCCTCAGCCTCCTGAGTAACCTGAGATTACACGGTGTCTGCCCACACGCACTCGCCTAATTGTTTGTATTTTTTAGTAGAGACAGGGGTTCACCATGTGGCCCAGCGGTCTCAAACTCCTGAGCT